ACCCCTAGTTTAATGTCATCTTTTGTTTGTCTCTATGTAACATTGTAAACAGGGGGCATAGTCATCTTGAGGCTAGGAGGTTCATCCCAACCCCTTTTGGAGAAAAATTACACTATTTACATATAGTAAATTTTTTTATGTATATAAAGTGGATATTGAAACACATTGACTAGTTCGTATGTTTACTTCTTCATATTTTGAACCTCCTTCGTGAAAATTTTTAGTCTCGCCACTGACTACAAATAGAGATATAAGAACTCATATCTTGTTTTTGCTTTAATATTTTGATATATAGTACTAACTCTTTTATGTTGACTTTATCAACATGGGTTCTAATCTTTAAACTCGGGATTATATTTTAACCACTTCTACCTGTAAGAGATGTTTACGAAGGAAAATATTATGGCAGAAGGTTAGTAGGTAGTCAACGTGTCGTCTAGTTTTTTCTTTGTATTTTATTAGTACTCTCCTATTAGCTTATTTTTATATTAGTATTAAATATTGTTTTCTTTGATTCGATTATTGTATCATTTATTATTTCTACTATTTTTAGTTATTATTTTTGTTAGAATAGGAATAGTAACAAGAATAATATATAATTTTACTTAGAATAGGAATAATATATATAGTTCTACTTGAAAAATGATTGTATTAGTGTCCTAGTTGGAAAAGAAGTCCAATGTAGTGTCTATGAATAGGGTCTCAATGTGATAATGTAGATCCATATGTGTCGTCAATTTGGTCAATGATTATACTAGCAAAAGTTAGGTCATAGTATATCTTCGAGTGAGTATTTTTTCATACTAATTTGGGTAGCACCATGCCATCTTCCCGACGATTACTTTTTCATATCTGATTTGCATAGCACGATGCATCTTTCAAATAATTACTATCATTACCAAATGAAAATGAGAAATCCATCACAACATTTCCATGATAATCTCTACAAATACCTCTCCCGCCCCTGTTGGACTATTTTGCATCTTGTTGCCATCCTTATTTTTTAGGCTTGTCCAACTATATCACCGCGTAGTCGTAGTTAATTCATTGTACTAGAAGCATCATTAGTTTGTAAATGTAAAACCGATCCGACCCTCAAGTCTTATCAAACATAACCTTGTACAAAATCAATTGGGGTTGTTGTGTTTTAAATGTGCGAATGGAAATGAAAAGTTGTGACTCTCCTGATGGGTTGTGACTTTTTCAAAAGGTTGTAACCTTTACGAAAGATTGTGTTTTTTCTAAAGGGTTGTGATCTCTCTGACAAGACACAATTAGCACATTTTCATGAGTTTTTGACCAAAATGAGCTATTTTAAAAATCAATTTACCTAATTAATACGTTTTAATTTTTTTACAAAAATAGTATAAACGTACTTTATGGTAATGTTTTAGGCTTTATTTGATTTTAAAAAAAATTAACGCCTTTAACTTAATAAACGTTACTGGCAATAATGATTTTATGTTAAAACGTGACAAAGCCCCATCCTCACTAAACGACGTCACTTTGTTATGAACTTAAATGTTAATTTGGCTGCTAAACAATTAACCCTTTCACTTTCACCCCTTTCACCCTTTCAGCCCTTTCCCTGTAAAAAAAAATTGGCAGCCGCAATTGTTAGTTTCTAATTCCATTTTCGATCGGTAATTTGTGGACGAAGAGGAGGCGTGAAAGAACAAAAACACAGGAAGACAATGAATGGATCAAAACCTCATTTCGTGGATAAACGGTAGCGGTAGTTTTTTCAAATCAATTTTGGGGATTTCTTGTTATATAGAGTTTCACGATAAATTGCGGCTATCAATCTTCTGGAAAGCTTGGAATCAAGTTAATTTCCTGTTTTAGAGTCTTGAGGTATGTTTTTTTCCCTTACAAACTAGTAGATGGAATGCTTGAATTTTAGAATTTCTATCTTCTCGTATTTATATCGTTTTGGTTATATGGAATAATCACTCAAGAAATTCTAATCTGCATGTTCTGTTTTTATTTTGAATTCATGCATCTCGTTGATGCAAAGAGAAACAATGAAAAGAAGAAAAAAATTATTCACATGAAAATGGAAGGAAGACTATAATAGGTTGACCTGCAATGCGCTTCTACTGAAATTGAGTTTATTTTTTAATATTTTAATAAAACATTGGTGACAGTACATTACTTGGATTTGGTTGTTATATTTTGGACTAACAATTATATTTAATTTACTTTCATATGGATTTTTCAGTTTAATAGATACGTATATGACTGGTATAGTGCATATCGATTGGATCCCGATCCACTTGAACCATTGGTACTAACTCAACAACTTACCCATAGGTCACGGGATATATGGAATGGAAGTGTTAATATGATTTTAAATACGAGGAGGTGTGATGGAAAATTTTGGGACCTCGTAAAGAAATATCTCATTCATCCACGAGTCTTAGAAATGATTGAATTATCAGGACTATATGGTGTTTATAGATCAAATCGACCTTCTATTGATCGTAGCTTGATCACTTCACTAGTAGAGAGATGGCGTCCCGAGACTCATACATTTCACTTTAGAACGGGTGAGGAGACAATCACCTTGCAAAATGTAGAAGTGTTGTATGTCTTACCTGTGAATGGTAATCCAGTACTTGGTGATGAGTCGATAAGGACCATAGGGGATTGGAAAAATATTTGTCAAAGATTGTTAGGTTTTATTTCACGTCCTCAAAACTTCAACTGTAGTAGCCTCAAGGTAACTGCACTTAATGCGGATATGCTCGAGCAACTACAGTTACCTAACTTGACAACACAAGAAATAATCGATCAAATGGCTAGGTGTTACATGTTTTGC